GCTCTCATGGGACAAACATCAATCAATGCCATAAAAGAAGGATGCCAGGCCCTGCTGCTTGCAGTTTACAGTTATAAAGCTGACAGCAACAATACAGGATTATACAGGACATCTGAAGAGATCTGGTCTGGACCCTCTAGCCAAAATTCACATGCATTTAAATTTGAATAATATATAGCTTTAAAAAAAAAAAAAAAAAAAAAAAAAAAAAAAAACCACATACAGAAGCAAGCTATGTTAACATTATAGTAGTGGTGTAATAGCAAGATAGAAACAAACAAAAAAAATCATTATAAAAGCCCAAAGTCCATTCTCACACTGAATTAAACTCAGACCCCCAAAATGTTTGGCTGACAGCACTCTTGGGAAGGGTCTTTAAGTCAGGTAAAGAACTCAGATCCTTGGACAAATAACTAACACTATTTTCCAAGAATTTTCCCTTTTGCTGACATGTTTTTCATGCTGTTTGTTTACTTGAGCATCTGGGCAGGGAACCCCTCACTGTCTCAGCTCCCTGGCTTCAAAACCATAGTGTGAAGCCTCCCCTTACAGCCACTGCAAGAAAGGAAGTGTTAGAGAAATGAGGTTGGCAGGCAAGGCAGGAAAGCCAAGGCAGAAATCCACCTCATGAAAACTTGTCATTCCCACCGCAGTCACCATGCTTAGGATGAAAAAGGCAGGGCTGAGACATGGGGGAAAACCTGAGCATTGCCCACTTCTAGAGTTGGACTGTCACTTTTTCAACACAGCACACAGCTCTTACCACTGTCCTTCAGTGCTGCCACCTCCCAGCACTGCTGATCCCACTTTTGTCAGCTTCCAGCAGTGACAGAATGGTGCAGGCAGGCTGCCTTTGCCACTGCTTACTTACTGGTGGGTGCCTTGATGGGAAGCAGCTACCCTTCAGCCTTGGGGGCTGGGGGGAGGGTCGACATTGCAAACAGATTCTCTTTTGGTTGTTTCCTTGGGGTTTTCACATCCCTGGGAAAAAAATAAAAGCCCCTTTTCATGAAAGGAGTTATTTGAGGATGTTGTTGAAACTGATACTTCAGAAATAGATGTTTCTGCATGCTGTCTTCCTCTTCCATAATGGCTCTTACATTAGGGACTGTAGTGGGGGGAGCTGCTGTTGTCCATTTACTTTAGTAAAGATTGTTATTGAATGAAACCTTTAATGGGGCGCTTATGATCCTACTCAGCTAAGAGCTCAGGGCCTGTGGTAGAGTAGTCTTTCTCTCCACCTTGACAACTCTTAGGGCATCAATATGGGTAATGCCTTTGTGGCGGTCAGCCCCAGCTGGCCAGCGGACTGCGGTGGCCACGTGGAGAGCCTGTGGGTCATTTGTGGGAAACTGAAAGCTCTCTGAGGAGTGCAGTTCTCCCTGGCACCATCACATCCATCCCCATCTTTACCACCACCACCACCCAGAGCTCTCCAAACCACACAGAGCCCTGTGGCGCTATGGCCACTGTAGGAGGCAGAGCTGCTCTGGTACTCCCCTACAGCTGGGAACCCCGAGACACTTCTTCCTGGAGGGGAGAGCCACCAGCCAGGTGTACTTTGGTGAATGACCTCTCTTGTTTAATCTTAGAAACCACAGGAGAGAGTGCAAAGTGCTTGGAAATCTCGTGTCTCTCAGGGCTGAACCTTAACAGCTCACTTGATGCTTTCCTTGGGCAGGACCATTTTTCATCATAGCCAGGAGGCAAGCTGCTGGCTCAGGTACAGCTCCTGTCTGCTTTTCCTAGGCGCAGGGCTACTCTCTGCCATCGATCTGACTGTGCAAGAACTCCATAATGCAGGGGGCTCTGCTTCTGGGCAGCTGCCAGGCAAAATTCTCACTGTGCACATGCACGTATAAATGAAATCCCAGCTGAGCTGGCCAGATCTGTTCACAAGGCTGTTGGCAGCACTGCCACAAGAACACATCAATGTGCTTCTATCAGTTAAGTCTCTTGAAAGAAAAACACCAGCTAATAAGATGTTAACAGGATGCAGATAAGAGCCATACTCTAATCTAAACTTGATCTCCCAAACCTTGTCCAGCACTTAAATCCTTCATTTTCCCCACAGAACACAACTCCTGCAGCCCAGTGTCTCACTGCAGGGCTGTCAAGTGTGCAGGCCAAGTGCCACCCTTGTTCTCTCTCCCAGTCCAGAGCCATCTGAACAGAGCAGCAGGCACAGCTGTGGCCTCCATTAAGACACCTCGATGCTGTGGGGCAGTCGAATGCCTTTTATACTTCTCCATTCAGATTTGTTGAGACCAAGTGGGAGTGATTAAGTCCAAATGTGAATGGTCTCAGCTACTGGGGACTCTTATGGACCAAGCAATCCAAGGTGCACTTGCCTCCTGATGCAGTCAGCTGTTACCCAGTGGGAGGATGACTGAAATTCCCAGAAAGAGGCGGTTTGATTCTGTAATGACTTGCAACTGACTTGGTAACACCCTTCATCCATTCGCTAATACTTCAAATATACAACCGAGATGCACTGGGCAGAAAGCAACTTGTAGCAATTCACCATAGCAGAGACTCAAATAATTTATTTTCTTCCTTTCTGTAAAGAAATTATCATAAAACATTTACACATAGAGTTTAATGTGCAAGACAGCTAGTACCTTGAGTCACAAGCAAAACTCTTCACGTACTCTTTCACAGATAACTCATCACACAATGCTGCAGAAGAGTGCTAATATTTGAGGACAAGGTAGATGGGGGATCTTTACATAGGAGAAAACACACACAGCTAAAAGCATTGCAAAGAGTGCACCACAGAAATAAATAACTCCCATTCACAAGAAACAGCAAGGTTACCCACAGGCAAAGCTAACTAAGCACCTCACTCATTCAGCTTTTCTCATTCATTCGGAGTCACAACTTTTTTCAGTAAGCAGCTGATGATTTCAACAAATCTGGAGTTATGTATGGGACCAAGCCAGCAAAGCCTTCTCATGCACAATTCACATTTCTGTTGCCCTGGGTTGTACATGCATGAGCAAAAACACCTGCATGTAGGCAGGCTGCTGTAACTAAGGCTCAGTGCTCTCAGCTGCATTCATTTATGGACTGCTTATTTCAGATGCTGCCCAATGCTGGGCCTCAATACTTTACTTACAAGTGGTTCTATAGTTTTTTTTTTTACTTTCAATTTTCACCATGAAAATGAGGACAATGCAACTTAAAATACAGTAAGTTATATAAAAGTTAGTGCAAGTCAATACATGTAGCTAAACAGTATCTGCAAGATATAATGTGCAAGTAACTTTTTTTTTAGTTTTATATTGTATTTTAAGAGATATTGAAGTTGTTAGGCACAGAATATACTTTCAGTTTCTGTACTTATGCTCAAAAAGTCCTTGTTAATCCTAAGTGACCTAGGATATTAAGAGAACCTTGTCACCTCAAGAATACCATCTTTAATACTGCATTAAAGAATCAGCTCCAGCAAGGGCCAGTATTGTCTGTGTGCAACACAGCACACACATCTGCACCAACACAGGAGCCTCCTGCAGAAACACAGCCCCTGCCCAGCACTGACAGATGGAGGGCTTTGCACTCCCCATGCACAGCGGTCCATCAGTACGGCTCTCCACATGAGCTGAGATTTCACATTGCCAGGGAATGCCACAGTTACTGATTTGGGGAATATGTTGCAAAAGTATCACTAAGGATTTTATGCTGAAAGTATTTTAGTCATTGAATAACATACACTGAGAAAGCTTCATCTGGGATGGTTTCTAGGTATTGAAAGACAGGATGCATGAGGTTGCTCTCAAGTCAGAGCACAAAAAAAGCAAACCCAGTTTTCAGCAAACAAGTTCTTCACTCATAGCTAAATAAGTAGCTTTTTCTGTAGAAAACAAAAGGCATTTTTATGAGGTAATACATAGCTTTCTTTTGCTAAAAAGAAAAGAAATCAACAGTAAGCCCACACATCAATCTGAACTTACTTGGATTGTCAGTGAGAAACACAGGGCAAAAACTCTAGCCTCCTTCAAAGTAAAGGCATTCCCATGGCTTGCGGAGGGAATTTTGCATGCAGAGAGATTTGTGGAGAGAGAAGTCTCAAGACTTCTGTCATACACCTCTCATCTTAAAGCAAAGATGGGAAAATGGCTTTCTCCCTTTTCTTAAGTGAGGTACAAGAATTGATTAAATACCTTCATGCCTCAATATAGAGGAACCTCAGGGGCGGGTAGAATCATGCCTACCCCTGGCCTGTGCTGAGCACAGTGCAAAACTGCTACAGAATGCTAGAATGCCCATGGCTCACCTGGGAGAGCTGTCAGTGTTCCAGAGCCACTTCAAGCTTGGTCTTCAGTAGAGAAAGAGAAGGTAGAGCCACCACCCCACAGCACTGCTGGAGCCATTTCACACACCTGCAGCCATTTATACACCCCACCCTTCTCTCCTGGGCTAAGGAAAAGTTGGTGTCACTGCCCCCAGAGCTCTCCTGGTCAGCTCAGCTGGCCCTGAAGCCACAATTAAATACTCTTATGCTGCTCCAGCAGCGTTCTCTATCAAATAGGGATTCATTAAAAGACTTGCACACTAGAAGGAGAGAACCCACACCTTGTCATGTGCCTAAATAAAACAAACAGGTTAAACTGCCTTAGGTATACATACTTGCTAAGAACACCTCTCAAATAAGCTTTGGCATGGACAGCACCAGGCAGCCCACAGCTGCAGTGAATTAGAGGTCTGGTAATGTCAATCACAGTGATACTCACACGCGCAAGAGGCTTTTGGGGAAGGGATACTCCTGAAAGTGAGGGAACACAGAGAGGAAGGGAAGGAAGGGCGGTGCATGTCAGATCTCACCCCAGCGCTGAGTCAGCGTGCTATGAACCAGCCGTCTGCATGCAGAAAGGAATTGGAGAGTGCACTCTTGTGACCCACACCATGAGAGTCAGTGCCTCCTGTGGCACGCACACAAGCAACATACACACACGTACACCGATGCAACCCACGGAGCTGGTCCAGGAAGGTACTCCTGGCTAATGAGCAGCAGCGTGGACGTTCATGTGGAAGCGGTAGTCCTCCAGCTCTGGGAAGTGCTGGCCGCACACCGCACAGGTGCTGCCCTTGTCCTTGCTGTGCGTGCGCCGCATGTGGCTGTCGTGTGCCGCGTGCGAGGCGAAGGCTTTGCCGCAGTGCTTGCACTTGAAGGGCTTCTCTCCCGAGTGCTGGCGGATGTGCGTGCGCAGGATGCTGGAGGCTGTAAACGCCTGGGAGGCCACAGGAGGAAGGGTGGGGGGAGAGCAGGGAGAGGGGTTAGCGGGCTCCGCTTTGTGGCTGTGGAAGCTCAGAAAGATTTCTGATTGCAGACACCAGTAAATATCTCCGATGTGACAAAGGATGAGAAGTCAAGTCAATACTACCCTAATTAGCTTTGTATAGGGGAAACGTAATGCAGGTTTTCTTTGCAGACTTTACTTTCAAAGTTACTCTTTCATGCTGATGAATGCTGGCTTGGAATTCAGCTGCCAGAATTTGCTCATGCTGGGCTAGCATCTACTTGAAGGGCTTTTCTTTTTCCTTCTGTCACGTTCTGCTCTTCCTTCGGTACCTCCTAGCCCATCTTTCCCCTAGCATGACTTTATCCCCTCATAACAACCTTACATTTTAGGAGAAAACCCTCTCACTAAGCCATAAGCAAACAGATTGCCAAACAGCCAACTGTTTCCTTAATTTTTCCCCAGCCAAGGCGCTCATGGGTCCTTTACTATTTGCAGACTACACAAAATAGTTGCTGCTAACCATGTCACTATCAGAAAGCTGAGGAAAATGCCATGCTGGAAGCAAAAATCCTGTACATGGGTGTGAGCAGGCAAAGCTCGCACCCACAGAGCCTCTATAGTGCCTGTTACATAGACTGCCCTGTTACTAAAAGTAAGCAAGCACACCATCGTTATCATGGAGGTTCAGCTCTTGAACTACATCTGTCCATCACACTACACGAGTAGTGTAGTGTGACCAAACATTAGTTTGGTAAGACCAAACATTACCAATCTGATGAAAAGGGAAATGTGTTAATTCGCTGAATGATTAGGATGGCATCTGAAATACTGTGAAGCATTCCTATACGTTGTCCCTGCAGCAGATTGCTGAGCAGGGAATTAGTCCAAATTCTGCCCCAATGGAAAGCAAGAGCTAGGAGCTGACCCTGCTTCTTCAGTTCCAGATGTTTGTATAAACATGATTTCAGAGTTGGGACTTGCATGGAATCATTTAAGTTGGAAAAGACCCTTAAGATCACCAGCTCCAACCACCCACCTGGTGCTATTAAAGCAAAGCCCATCTACTGTACCACATCCCGAAGCATCACATTGTCTTCTATCTACCTCCAGGGATGGGGCAGCCTGTTCCAGTACCTCTCCACTTTTTTCGTTTTAAAGACCATCCCAATATCCAGCTTAACCCCTCCCTGGTGCAACCTGCTGCTATTTCCTCACGCCTGATCCAACCCTCTCACTTCCAACCTCTTCAAACCCTTTCTCCCACTGCATCTCCCAGCTGTACCCAGACCGTACGCACTCAGTGTATCTGGATACCAACTTAAAGAGAAGGCATCTGTTTCCTGGATAGAAAAAGGGGAAGGGCAGCACATGGTGCTGTGAGGCACTGGAACATAGGAGCTGCCCACCTTATTGCAGTAGACGCATTTGTAGGGGCGCTCCCCGGAATGAACCCGCATGTGTTTGTTCAGGCTGGAGGACTGTGAGAAGCTCTTCCCACACACTGAGCACTGCAGAAGGAACACAGGAGTTACAGGAAGCACAGAACAGCACGGCTGGAAAGAGCTGTTCTACATGGGGTTAAATTAACTAGGAACAACTTGAAATATAGTCAGAATAATTTTTTTTAAAGACAGACAAATCATGCAAAATTGCAAGCTCTTTTTGTTTGTACGGTTAAAATAGCCCTAGTAAAACCTGTCTCTGGAACATTAGCAGAAGATACTGATAACTAGTAATTAAATCTGATTCCCCCCCCCCCCAAGTTATTAAGACAGTTACATCCTTTATTTATTCCTCTATTTAAGGGAATCCCTCTTAAGGAGCACTTTGCTGGGAGATGGTGTGACAGCCCCCAGGGCACAGCCACTGCCTTTCTGCTGTATCACTGCAGGCGGTGACACCCAGTGCTGAGGTGCTGAAGTCAAGGAGTCCGTGGGGACACTCGCACAAATCCTGAGGGAATGTGCAGGAGCCCACAGATCATTTCCTTATCCCGCTGTTATTTTGGAATAAATCATCATTCTCCAGTCCAAAATAAACTATCCTATGGAAGGTCATTTTTTACTGATATAATTTCCCTTCCTTGCTTTTCAAGTCTATTTGTTTCTCATTTAATTGCAATATCCATTCAGAACAAGTTTACTGCCACTGCTGTTCTCATGTATTTCTTCCCTATGTGTTGAAAAAAGGAAAGGAAAAAGAGAGGAAAAAAGGGAAAAAAAAGGTTAAGGAAAAAAAAGGAAAAAAGGAAAGGATAAAAAGAGGGATGGAGAAAGAAGAAAAACAGGAAGAAATAACTATGATTTCGATCTGCATAATTAGTAGAATCCTATTAGACCTCAAATTTAATACAATTTTCTTTTAAATCTCTTACTAAACCCTTAAAACCTTCGAATATGATATCATTGATTTAATTGGATCTATTCCAGGAAAACGGACGTTGTCTGGAGATGACCCATAGGAACAAAGGAGGGTGCTGGGGACCGAAGCAATAGCCGTGCCACACTGGAAGCCCCCCAGCCCTTCCCAACCCCGTTTCACTGCCAGGCGTTGCCGAGGCAGCGGCTCACGTCGGGTGCGACAGCCTCGGCCGGGGACAGGCAGCACTGGGAGCGATCGGGGGGTGGGTGGTGGGGTGGTGGGACAAAGCACCTCCCCGAAGACCCCGAGGTAACGGCGGGGACATCTCACCTTGTGGGGTCTGTGCTTCTCGTGGACGTGCAGCACGTGGATGCGCAGCCGGTCCCTCTTCTCGAAGGAGCGGCTGCAGAGGTGGCAGGGGAATTTCCTGTCGCCCTGGTCCACGCAGCGCGTGTACTTGAGGTGCTTGTCGCGGTAGTAGCGGTAGGCGAACACCTTCCCGCAGCGCTCGCACTTGAAGCTCTCCCCGGCGCCTGCACGGCAAAGCGCGGTGCCCGTCAGTCCCAGGGAGGGTAAGAATGTTACAAACGGATTCCGGCGTTATCATCAACCAAACCGAACCAAACCAAACCTCTCAGCTCCCGCAGCCCCCCGGTTCCCTTTGTGCCGGGGGAGGGGAGGCAGCTCCGCACCGCTCCGCCCGTGTCCGCGGGCAGCGGATGGGGCGCTTCCTAAGGCACGGCCGGCCGACCCCGGGACGCTGCCTGACGGCGGCACCGCCGCAGCCCTTCGCTTCCCGTTCCCCCAAAAAGGACCATCGATCCACGTAGCTTTTCTGTCGTTTTCAAAACACTATCAAACAAACGCGGGTTTATTTGGTTTCCTTTGGAGTTTTAAATTGTTCTTAACCACTGAACTTAGGAACAATACAGGAAACGTTTCGAACGTTAACAACATTTCCCTCTGCCTCTAATCGAAGGCAGGTAAGTGACATTCCCTCCAGCCCCGAAACGAACCACCGGCCGCCCCACAAAGCTGGGACGCAATCCCAGAGTCCCATCGTCCGGGGTTCCCCTCTCTCGCCGTCAGCGCACCCCCACCCCTCTCCGGCTTTTGTCTTCACACAACCCTGACTTCAGACCCAGCTTCGGCTGACAGCGGCGTCTCCCTTCTCCACTGCATTTCTCCCCGAATAAGCGCAGTTGACACCGCTGCGGTAGGATTAAACCAAACACCAACAAGGAACGCCGCAAAAAGTCCCCCACACCAACAGCTCGGCAACAACAGGGGAAACGGGGGATGCTTTACATTAGCACCTCTACGCAATCCGGAGTGGCAGAGGGGGAGCGGCACCGGGATGGCCGCCCCAGAGCAGCCCGGCCCGGGGCACCCTCGCTGCCATCCGACACGCATTACGAAGGGAGCTGGCTGAGTCCCTTCGCTTCCGAGCGCGATCCGGGGGACCCCCGATGTGCTGCCACGTTCTCACCTTCGGGGTGCTGCGGGGGCCGTCCCGCCTCCGGCATGCCCTTCAGGCAGATGGGGATGCCCAGGAACTGCACGTAGCAGTCCCCGTACCACACCAGCAGCTCCTCCTTGGGCGCGATCTCCCGGCAGCTCTCGTAAAAGATCTGCCCCTGGCACTGCAGCGCCGTCAGGTTCTGCTCCTCGGGGAAGCGGGCGCAGTTCACCAGAGACATCCAGTTGCCGGCCGTGCCCTTCCCGTCAATGAAGTGGCTCAGTTGTCCGTACTCGAAGACCTGAAGGGCAGAGAGAAGAGGATCAGAGCCGAGATCGGATCGGGGCCGGGCAGAGGTCCCCTCGCAGTTCCCCCACGGCCAAAACGTACTGCCCGCAGGAAGCCCCTCCGCCAACATCTCCCCGGCTCCCCCCCCCCCGCCGCGGCTACCTCCCACATCAGCGAGTTGTCGTCGTAAGTCTTGATCTCGGTGGTGTTGACCACTTTGCCTTGGAACGGGCCGAAGCGAACTCCTTTGGGGATGGGGGCGGTGCAGAACACCCCCAGGTGCCAAACGTCCCCGTAGGCCACGCGCAGCACGGCCAGCCCTGCGGGGACAGCGCGGGCTGAGCGCGGCCGGAGACAGGGAACGGGGCGCGGGCGCGGGCGGTGTCCCTGCCCATACCTTCGGGCAGCTGCAGCGCGTCCCCGTCGGGCGGCGGAGCCGGGGGGGAGCGAGCGGCACCTGCGGAGAGGGACCCTCGTCAGCGGCTCTGAGGGACCGTGGGGGCGGCCCCCGAGCCCCCGCACCCCCCTCCGGATTCTCCGTCCCCTTACCCGGGCTGACGGGGGGCACGCGGAGCCCCGAGATGGCGTGCAGCCCGCCGGGCAGCTGGGGGCTGCGCAGCGCCCCGTACAGCACCGCGTTCAGCTCCTGCTCGCTGAAGTGAAACCTGCGGCTCTGCCCCGCCGTCTCGCAGCCCCCCCCGGGCCGGGCCGTCCGCTGCGGGGTGTCCGCCGGAGCCTGGGCGGGGGGCGGCGGGGCCGTATGGGGCGGCGGGAGGCCGAGGAACGCGGGGATGCCGAAGGGGGGCAGCGGCGGGGAGGGTGGCAGCAGGCGGCCCAGAGGCTGGAAGAAGTCGGGGGGCGCCTCCAAATACTGCGCCGGGGGCAGGAAGGGCGGGTAGTAGGCGGCGAGTCCGGCGGGGCTCAGCCCGAGCGCGTCCGTGGCGTCCGCGGCGGGGCCCGGCTCGCCGGCCAGGGCCAGCGCCATGTCGAGGTGCAGCAGGTAGAGCGGGATCCGAGGGGAAGGCGAGGAGTCGCTGAGCCGCCCTCCTCGCCCGGTGCCGTCGGGGCGAGCGGGCCGCCGGCCTCCCGTGGCTATATGGGCCCAGGCAGGGGGCGGCCCGCCCGGGGGTCGCGTGGCCCCGGGGGCGGGCGAGTGGGGGGAGGCTGCCCCGACGGGAGCCCCTACCCCGGGGCGGGGCCGCCAGTGGTTGTGAGGGGGCTCTCCGCTTTGCCGGAGCCGCCCCCGATTCTGTCCCGCTGCCGGGCACGCTCGAGCGGTGCGCCCGGGCCCTGCGAAACGGCTTTTGGCTGTGAGAACGCAAAAATCCTTTTCCAAACAGCCACAGACAGCCGGCAGTGCGCTGGGTGCCGGGCTTGCAGCGGGCTCCTGCTGCTCCCAGGCCGGGCGAGTCCTCAGCTCCGCGCAGCACTGCTTAGCGACAACTGAAGCATCGCTGCATTAGCAACATCGTTCTTCTCCAGGACTCAGAACGCGGCGTCATACCAGGCATTACGGCTCTGTCCCAGGTGCAACCAGGAGAAGACAAGTGAGAGGTGACAGCATGCAATAAAAAACGAATTTTCAGTACTCTATGCAGACTATGCAGTCCTGTGTGAAGTGCTGCCTTCCTCTCACAGCAGGGACTCACCAGAAGTCACCTGGAGCAGCTACTGACAGAGAGACTTTGGCTCCAACCTGCCGCTGACTGCGCTTGGCTGGAGGTGAAGCCATCCTCCGAGCCTTGATTTCATGCTGACACTGCAGTTCCCACCTGCCCAAAGCTTTGGGTTGGAGCCTCCTCTTAGCCTTTCAGTCTGGTTGTGAGAGCTGAGTGCTTGCACATTGAGGAGAGCCAGAACGGTGCCAGGCAGCTCCTGAGACCCCGAGTCTGAGCTGTGACACATGTGGGACTAATTCCCCTACCTACTGCCACATTGTCTGTCCTGATTTCTATTTGCAAGGCAGAAGCAGTCAACACACCAGGGACAACCAATATGTGCAGCAAGCTTAGGGAGGAGGCAGGCATGCAGCCCTCTAATGCTTTCTCAAGGCAGTCTCTCAGTCTTTATGCCTGTATGGATTTTTTGGCTTTTCATCATTTTCCCTTTTCTCTCTCGTTTCGGACTCTATCTGTAGGGCTGAAGTGATGCTGTACTGCTTTACAAAGTGGCTTTGGATTGGCAGCATTAATAGTATAAAAGCAGTGCCATGTTTAGCGGGAGCCTTTGAGTGCTGATTGCAGAAAGAAGTTTGCTTTCTCCTTAGAAATGAAATGCTGCCATGAAAGGAAAAGGTCACATATCACTGTTGTGACCACTTTGCAGTTAATCTCCAGTGACTCACAATCCCCTATAGGATGAATGGTATTATGGCTTAGAAAGCAGCAGAGTGGGCATCTGCCTGCCCTGCTTAGAGACTGAAGAGGAGACAGCTTTGGGACATGGAGCAGGACTGTACCACAGTGCCTGCTCAGCATTCCCACCTCACATGTTCCCTCCCACCTGAGCCCTTTCTGTCTCACCATTCATTTGTAACCCAAGGATGTGGCCCAAAGAATGGAGCTGAGAACAGGTCACAGCTTTGGGCCATGCTAGCCCTCATCCATGCTTGCTCTTCGTGCTTCAGCTGATGATGTTTTTTATGTGGGTCAGTAACTCCTTATTGGCTTTAGCAACAGAGCAGCGATTATTTATCACAGCACACCTCCTGGACTCACTAACTGTTGCTCCTGTTCTAATACTGAGGGCATTCGCTTTACCCCTCTGAGCTTTATCCTTTCAGTTCCAGTTTCTAATTTCCTACAACATAATTTTACACAACAGAAGCAATTTTACTGTAACACAGACAACCACCTGAGTTAAGAAGAAAATAATCATGGAATTATTAAGGCTGGAAAAGACCTCTAAAGTCACCAAGCCCAACTGTCAGCCCATCCCCACCCTGCCCACTAACCACATCCCTCAGTTCCACATCTCCATGCTTCTCGAACACCTCCATGGATGGTGCCTCCACCACATCCCTGGGCAGCCTGTGCCAATGCATCACTATTCTTTCTGAGAAGAAATTTTTCCTAATGTCTTTCATTCATCAATTCAGCATTGCTCTTGGGTTTTCCCATACACAGACCTGTCCCTTGGTTTCAAGGAGTGGGTTTTCAGTGGTGGGTTCAGATCAGGCTCCTTTCAGCTCTATGTAGAAAGTCCTTACACTTTTCTGCTTAATAGTATTTTAGAAGAGCATCATCTGCCAGTGGCAAAATGCCTGCACAGGAGATAAAGATTCTGTGTGCTCCACTAGTGTGGGCCTACCCATGAAGATTTCATGATGTGGCAGGCAATGCTATCTGGCTAGGGTAACCCTGTTATGCATTAATGCAAGAGGTAACACACTTGGATATTTTAGACCAGTTTGGGTCCAAATCTTTGCAAATTTTGTTTCCAAACTGGAGCTTTCCTTCTCTATAGCCCCACTGGGCTGGGAATGGTAGATGCAGAGAATTCTGCCTTATTTGTGGAAATTTTCTGCATCACTTTTCCAGTAAAGTGAGTTTCTCTCTCCCTCTCTGGTACCAAGAGATATCAGATTGGGGGATTAACTTCTCTTAGAGTCTCTCCACAACTGTTGCTGTATCTGCATATGCATATTTACAAAGATGTGCCTGTACCTGCCCTGCAAATCCAACTAAAATGACAGGCGTGCTCTCAAACATGACAGCATCTGCACAGCTCAGAGCATGCAGCTTTTCTGTCAGCTCCTGCTGTCCTGAGTGATTGTGTTGAAAAGGTGTCATAACAACAGGACAGGAACAGGAAATAGAACAGTGATTTACTTGCAAGCTTCATTTCTAAAAACAAACAAACCAACCCCTCCCTCATCATCAAAGAATAAAATTATTTAATTGAAAATGGGAATAAATTATATAAATCCTAAATGCATGCGGACCATAAGCTAGAAAGGAAATAAGGTACGTTGATATTCCTTCTCTGTCACTACTGTATCATCAGATATAGCAGCATTTCAGTGATGTAGTATTTGTGCAATAGCTGGATCTGATCTGCTACTTACATGAGGCACGGTATGCATTCTAGTGAACTTCTTTCCATCCTGCAGTTACAGTTTGTGGCACTAGGCTCGCACCTTCACACTCCTACACCTCCTAATATTCTGTAAGCAGTTTTTCCCCCTTTTCTCTTTCTTCCCCAATCCAGTTGTTCACATCAGTCTGAACATTGCCCAGCACAGGTCCGTTTGGGTACCCACACAGCACTCTACAAGCTTGGTTACAAATTGCATTAAGAAAGCATCTGTGCCCCATCCCATGATTGTGTACGCATAACTTTAGGAATACTCAGACCTCAATGGGCTCCTGCTGGCTACAAAACTGCTGAAGGTTCTTGGGAGTATTTACCTCTAGCAGCTGTGGCCCAGGAGCCTCCTGCCCAGCTGCCTCTGCCCCTGCTGAGGGATGCACGAAACACAGCACTCCACATTTCACTTGTATTGCAGTGTACACTTGCAAGATTTCAGGCAAAATGCAAACTGCATTCTGTTTCAGCTGTGGCCCAGTGCCTTCAGGATGCTTTACTTGATCTTTCCATTCCTTTTTGCAGCTCTCTCAGACTTCTGGCTTGGGGTTCTGTTCTTTTGGAGGCTTTGTTCTATGGAAAACATGCATCTCACTGAAACTGGGATACCTTAGGTCCCCTGGACTGGAAGGTGTTCTTTAGGTGCATTAGTTCATCAGGATCAAAGCTACCTTTTTGAGGAACTGTTTTGAGTCATCATTCTTCTGCTCCAAAGTTCCATTTATGTCAGTAGCTGTAGGCACTGGGGCAGCATGGCATGTATGGATAATACTGTGCCGTTCTCTTTGGGGGTAGAAGAGCTCCCTTTTATCGCCTGGTTTCAGCTTTCATTCATTTGGGTGCAGCAAAGACAAGTCCGAGGGAGTCTGTATTGCTGGGATTTTCAGTGAGGGGTACCTGAGGTACGTGTGACAGAGAGACAGGATCAAACTTTATCCCCTCAAAGTAATTAACCATGGTTTTTTTTTTCCGTTTTCAAGATGACTTTCCATAACCAGAGACCAAAGGGAAGGAGACAACACACACAAGGGGTCTGCTGGGTCACAAATCCAGCCTGAGCCCACCATGTGGCCAAGCGTGTGGTTGTTAGCACTGTCAGGTGCCAAAGGAGGCTCACACTGGAATGAGACAAGGAATGTGGTGTCGGGCACACAGATCTCACACCAACACTGCCGTTTGCAGTGAGCAGTTGAGGACTATCACGAGAGGGTTTCTCTAAGCGGCAGCTTATCTTAAAGTCCGGCTCTCAAGGGCTGCCATCCATCCAGGTTCATTCATGTGGACCTTCCCTGACCTACCTTTCCCCTAAGAATGCATGCAACTGTCGTCACTCTTTTCTCTTTTACCAAGCAGCTGGGCTGTGGACAGCCCTTTATCAGAAGTTGGGATTCAGCAATGCGTGCAAAACCCTTGGCCACAGTCCCAGTACGGACTTCAAGTGGTCCCATACCTTTCCGAACAGAACCGATGGGTTTTGACAGGGAGCAGCCTGTGCTCTTACCAGGCACAGCAGCAGATGCTGCTGCAGCAATGACAGAACTGTGATTTAGATCAGGTCAGGGCAGTTTGTTGCTATAGCTGGAGGGCACAGCACAGAGCAGCAGCGACAGCCTCTGCTGGTGGGAGCTGCGTTCCTGCAAGGCAGATACGGCTCATGAACACTTAGCAGTGCTATGCCAAAGCCTAACAGGAATCAAGTTGTATGAGACTGTCACATGCACAGGTCTGTGCAACTGTTCATGGGCTATCTGTATTCTACTTTCTCCAGCTCAAGAATTAATTCATCACGTTTACTGTTTCAGGACATAATTTGAAGGCTGTCAAGAGGCCCACTTGGGCCTTGGCATTTCTGCTTCCACACTTTGTGACCTGCTAGGCCAAGACAGAGGGCAGATTCCC